CGGGTGGCGCCCAGGGGAGGGGAGCAGGGGGAGGACGACAGACGACGCACTAGTACAGTGCAGTGTTGTAGACTTGTCCCGGCGGCGTCCACCGCCACACTTCTTGGCACCGCGGCCGGGCAGCACGCGAGCGCATGCGCGGGGCGCGAGGGGGGACCCGCGGGGCACCGCGAGGCGCACGTGTGCGAACCAGACGGCCGCCCTCCGGGCCCAGCTGACTAGGGGGCGGGCCCAGCAGGGCTGCAGCAGGGCACCAGCAGGGAACTCAGCGAAAGACGCATAAAGACACCGCCGCCGATCGCGCGCTTGTCTGTCGACTCATTCGTGTTCAACTTCAGGATTTTGGGTGGGTCCCGCCCGGAGTCAGTTAAACTCCCCGCCCCAATGCCGTACAGTTGGTAGAGGGCAATGACCTCTAGACGTAAGAATTTCGTCGGTCCCGCGCCCGCCGCCCCGCCCCGCGCGCCGTCTGCTACGGTGGAAAACTTAACCTCACTTCGAATGAATGGTTGACGAGTAAAGGGATTTAACGGGATTCTGTGCGGTGAGAAATGGCACGGTTTTAATAGGAGTGGCGCGTGCAACTACAAAAGCACAGAATTAACGTCGCGGAAGTCGTGTTGCTCAGCTCACAGTTCGTTGCATAACAGAGCTAGAAACTATTGCCCAGACTTTCTTGCAAGATAAAAAATTCTAAATCATTCCATCAAGTTAACTGATAACTTTAGCTTTCCATACACCGGCGAATGAATGGCGTAGATAAATTCAGCGACAAGCTGCCAACAGTGGCAAGCCTAACCTAACTTTTGCATGTGGAAACCCCGCACCAGCAGCTCAAAAACCAACCGCAGGCCGCTATCAAGTCCAGTCAGTCGGTAAAAAACAGGAACCTTCACGCAAAAGGTCTGACGCGACCGCTGCCCAGGCTTGCATCACCTCCCCAACAACGCCCTTACTCCTTTCACCGGGGAGCAGGACACACTCTTCTGCTAACAGGACGCACCAGTTGCCGATGCCGCGCGTCACAGGGGTCTGTACCTGATAAATTTTAATGACATGGTGCAGGTAGTAATCCACATCGAGTATATCCATTTTGACACAACACTCGCGACCAAATCAACGCGTTTTCGTAGTGATTTCGGACGGAATTTCAACGTTTCTCCCGCGACAAAAGCCGGGCCGGCGTAAAGGCGAAGCCCAGCCCAGCCGACACGACAGCCGGGAGCAAACTGAAACTGAGTCACGCCGAGCCGAGCCGAGTCGAGCCGAGCCAGCCGCGCCAACCGACAGACCCGGCTGCCGCCCCTCCCCCACCTCACTTCCCTTCCCCTCCACCAGCCGACCCGATCCAGTCAGCTGTCCTGGAGGACACCCCGGTCACCCACACTCGCACTTTGCCTTACAACGCGAAAAAAAAATAAAAATATGTGCACTTTACGGTACAATTTAAATTAAAAGATAAAAATCGACCCAATTTTAAGACATATTCTCCAAGCAACGAGAGTTTTCATTAAGCATTGAACATTGTGAGGGCTGCTACGCAGAGGAATTTACCCGCGATTTAAAGCAAAGCAAAGGATAGTGAAAACACGACGCCGACTGTGCAAAGTGCAAGGTGGCGCGAGACGGCAGCTGCCAAATTCTCCTCCTTGATGACGTCCACGTGGTCAAGCGGATGGGCGCGGGCCGTATAGTTAGGCTTCTGGCCTGGCTGGCTGGCAGTGACCGCCATAAGGCTGCGGCCGGCTCGGGCTTGACCAACTTGGCGAAGCCATCTTATCGACCGAAACGCAATGGTCCGTCCGCATGGGTCGGGCCCGGCCGCCGTCGCGATATCGGCAGTCGATTGGTAGGGATTAGGCTGATCCCCTTGACACGTTCTCCCCGATAATCTGAATATCTCTGAGAGTGGCGGTGGCGCGGTGGTTGTGGTTACGGCACATGTCTGCATCCTCTTTCTTGCTATTTCCCATCAGGTCATCATCATTCCAGCCTCCACCCGCTCCATCTCGCCGCGCACGCTCAGCGCTCGCGGCGCCCTAGGGTCTACTGCCGAGTAGAAAGCGAAGCAGGCCGTTTAGCGCAGTCTCGGAGGGCGGCCGGGTGGCGGCGCAGGGCCCTGCAAAGAGCACAGCGCCGCGGTGTACTCTGGGACCGAGTGGAGCACCACCGCGGCACCGCCCACCGCACCGCCGCCCGCTCCTCCGCCACTTTCACAAGCCTTGGTCTGCCGCGGCCTCGCAGCGCGGCAGGGAACAGCGGAGCTCTGCACCGGCTGTACAGTACCAAAGCAGCGCACCGCGTGGATGCCTTGCCTTTGCGATAGAGAGAAAGGTGTACGTCATGCGGCAGACGGAGACTCCGCGGAGGGAGGGCGGTCATCACAAGGAAAGACCGGGGGAGCTGCTGCTCGCTGATCCGATGCTCCAGGAAGCTGATGGTTGGGGGAGGGGGGAAGCCATATGAATGGACAACGTCACCACGGCCACACATGACTCACAGCCACGCGCCCCCGCGACCCGGGCCACCACCACGCGAGGCCAAACACACCGCGAAGTAAGGAGAGCAAGGCGGCGGACGTCCCGCGGGCAGCAGGTGGCCGCAGGACGACCGCATCCATCCCCCTCCAGTCAATGACCCCCACCCCCCACCCCCTCAACAGCGCTCTTTAGCGCCTGCAGCACTGCTGACGAGTCGCTCCACTGCAGAGGGGGAGGGGAGGAGGGAAGTACCAAAGTGGCGCCTTCACTTTGGCTGGCGGCGGCGGCGTTGCCAGAATACGTGTGGCGGGGCGGGGCGGGGCGGCGGGACCAACCGCGACCGCGAGAGCAGACCAGCTTATGGTCCGCGACCGACCGACCCATCGGCGCCGCGCACCGCACTGTATCTATACACAACGACATTGCCGTCTCCAAGGCGCTTTCGACGCCCACTTCGGAGCGAGCGTTGTTGTTGTTATAACTTGGACAAGGCAACGACGTTTACGATGACGACGAAGACGACGGTGCCGACCGGTGACAGACCATTGGATTGGATATCCCCGACACGACCAGACCAGACTGTCGAGACGCAGGTCCAGCCAACTCGCCCCCCCCCCCCTCCGCCTTATAGCCTTGTCTTCCGGGAACGCCCCCCGCGCGCCCACCAGAGGTTGCGCAAGTCCGCTCAGCAGCGCTCAGCTGACTGGAGGCCGCGGCCGCCGGGTCCGCTGGAGAAAGGTGAGGCGGTGCGGGCCACGCGGGCGCCGCGTGCTCGCCGCGTGTGGCGTGGCGGCGAGGAGGGGCGTTATCCAACTGCGCCGTGGAAGTGGGTCGGCCGCGCCGCCGCGG